AAAAGATACAGTCGGGTAAGCAGACGATGACAAAAAACAAGAGGAGGAAGATTCAGACGTATTCAAAAGTAAATCAGACAGTGGACATCATGAAACCCCCTTCAGATTTGTTCCTCAGCATACTTGCGGCGTAACTCTCACTGGCCAGAGTTAAACTTTCCTATTGGTAGATTACACTGCGTCATGTTTGTATGTGAACATTAGAGGGCAGTGTAAACCAAACTGTCTATCGATGAACTATTTGCATATTACTTTTACATTCATAGAAGTCAGATGTTAATTGACGTGGATTTTTATAAAATGCACTCATATATACACAGTACTGTACAAAAGTCACGGTTTAAAGCCATGTATTTAGATAAGTACACATTTGCTCAGAATAAAAACATTACTTAACATCAGACAATATGCAAATTAAGAGTAACAATAAAAACTAACAAGAATGTCTCCTGTTCTCCCAAAATTTACCTACTTCCTTCTGGGCGGCTAGATGAACACCATTTCTGCTCCCAAACCAATTCTCTCCTTAATTAATTGCTAAATTTCACCGTGAGCTCACCTAATTATTTAATTTAATTGGGTAAAAAGCTGTTAATTAGCCAAACATGGTATGCAAGTGGCTGAGTCAGAAAAATACATTGATGTATTGGATGGCTGCTGTAGATAAAACGGGAGGCTTTGAAATGACTAAGTTGACATACTTTTACAGATGTAATAGTTTCACAACAAACATGAAGATGATTTAAACATCATTTTCTTTGACTACCTAAGACTTTTGCACAGAACTGTACAGTATGTGCATTTTATGTCTGTGTGTCTCTCTTTCTCTCTCTCTCTGTATATGTATATCAGAGAGAGATAGAGAGAGATAGAATGTTTGTGTATATCATAACCTGAACATACATGGATATTTTACATAGATCTATGCAGAGCAGAGTACTGTGAAGGCCTGTGATATGTGCCTGATATCATACTCATTACAGTACATTCAGCTACTCGCAAAATGGTTTTGCGTTTTTCAAGTGACCCCTTACTCCGCTGGTAACAACATGGAAAAGACCGGGGAAAAAAATCTATAATGCCTTAGGTCTGTCATTCACACCAAAATCTCAACTGAGCCATATTCCCCTGAACAGCAATTTAGGATTTAGTAAAACGATCCCTCTGACAGTTCTCTGGAGGACACCTGTATTTCCGCGTGGATGGCAAGGGTTTGAATCCCAACCATATATGATCAATGCCATGGGAAGATTTGTGTAGTTCTGTAAAAGTATTGATAGATATTTTATGAAGGAAATGGATTTTTTTTTTTACACAGTATTGAGTATCGCTAAGAGGTTTTGGCAAGATGTGCAACAATGTAGCTAAACAGAAGATGTCAATGACATGGGAAATGCTAGTCATGCAGTACGGAAACTAGACGGTGGATTAGCTTAGCGCCCTGTCATATAGCGAGACAGTGAGCCCCATCAGCAGGAAATCCTGTGGGCTGTACAGAATACTAAAATAACAGCATTGATAGCCCAAGCGCCCATTTACCCAGAGCCAACCAGGTTGAAACTTGCACTAACCAATTAGAAGTCTGTGTAGTGTGTCATCGTGGGATTTCCTCTGGGGGTACTCTGGTTCCCCCCCCCCCATAGTCCAAAAAAATACTGAGGTTAAATGGAGTTACCAAATTCCCCGTAGGTGTGTGTGTGTGTGTGTGTGTCTGTCTGTGTGTCTGTGTACCTTGCGATGTGTTGGTGCCCCATCGTGGGGGGGGGGGGGGTCCCTGCCTTGGGCCCACAGACTCCGAAGTCCCTGCAACCCTGAATAGGACAAGCAGTTACAGAAAATGTATGTATGTATGGATTACCCGTAGTGATAGGCCATAACCCGTAGTGATAGGCCATAACCCGTAGTGATAGGCCATTTTGATGCATTTTTAAAGCTTCATTTACATGGTACGTTTAAATAAAAAAAATCAAGCATACTTACTACTTAACCACACAATATGTACAATTTCCATATTTTAAAAAATCTTTTTGATCACATTTTAAAGTTTGTTTTGTTTTACTTCAAAGTGGTAAGACAACATAATGATTTAACTCCTGCCTAATTTTAACTGGCCATTATCAGATATACTGCATTCCATTCACAACTTTGACATTTTGCTTTTATACTAAATATTAGATCAGATGCATAGCACCTCCTTGTGGTTTTACAGAGAAATCATTTAGACTGGGTTGTGTGTGTCGGTACAGGATCTGTTTCCAGTTCACTGGAGGGTTTGGATGATTATAAACAATCATTAATGGCAAAAAAAGGTGTAAATGGGGCACGGCACTACATCGGTCATCAGAAGGTTACTGGTTCGAATCCCAGGAATGGAAAAATGATTTCACCATTGGGCCCTTAAGCGAGGCCCTTATCCCCCAACTGCTCGAAAACAAATATATGTCACTTTAAATAAATAAAATGTTAATCTCGCACTGGATTCCAAAAGATTGTCAGTCAGAGAGGCAGCCGTGGACTGAGAAAATCAGTGTGTTCTTAAAGGCAGTGTTTCATTTAAAAAGGGCTCAAAGGAAAAAAAAATAAACAGGGAGAACTAGAAAAGGAATTCTAGCTATGGGCATAAGCAACCTAAGGCAGACATCTAGGCAAAGCACATCAGTTACACCTTCAGTCTGGAAGGACACAGGAAACGCATCATCAGAGACTGGCAAATATCACCGAATATATATCAGAAACGCTTTCATTTTCAGTACAGGTGTTGTGAGGCGACTCTATGGGTTGGGAATCTTTCTGGCATCCAACAACCTTGCTGAAACTGCCACATATGATGCTTCTCCGGAGACCATGATGAAGATGATTTCTGCGCCACGGGCAGGAAATACATTAGAATTATCTCACCAGGCGCAAATCCTCAATGAATATGTGAAAATTACAGAGCTGTAGTCCCACCCACTGATACAGAAAAGGGATGTATTTTTTAGATGCCGCATTAACTATTACAGTTTTATTTAACCCTCAAGACATCGCAAATGGAAAACTGTGCCCAGAACGCATCAAAGAAATACAGACACATTTATGCGTTACATACAATAGCACTCGTGTTTGTCTGACGGAATCAGGAAGCTGATTTGAGGAATCCCGCAGTCCAGAGACACGCCACCAGTCTAATTAGCGTCTCCTAATAGCACACAGTGTGTTTATGTGTGAGACCTACCTTTACACTGGCCAGCCGTCCAAGGAGATCTGTGCCCTGTGCCTTTCCCTGCAATCCTGTGCTGAATAAATAGTCAGAAAGTTGGTAAATGTTAATAATAAACAAATATTATGAGGCTCTATTGGGCTTTATTAAAAGTGGTTAGCTGTGATGTACATTTATGTAAAATAAAAATAATATTAAAATATTGATTTTATTCTCCGCTCTATTTACAAACTTAAATAATTTCTAGAAAGATTCCCCCCTCCGACCCCCGTCCTGCACATCAGGGACGAGTCTTTTTGGAAATACATTACTCTTTCACACTACATTAAATTCTTACCCAGACACACTGGCCCACTTCCGCCGGCTGAATTATTAATAAACAAATCGGACAGCTTTATATAATCACAGATTCCGTGCCTACATTTCAGGAGCAAAAAAAAAAAGAGCATGGGATTTTATTTGAGGACGGGAAAAACCAGACTTTGATTTATGACCTTTCTCACATGCTCAGCCCAAAGTGTCTCTGCGAGGAATAGTGTATATCTGGAATCCATAAATTCACACGTCTCTGCAATAAGAGCGTCATGTTTAGAGAAGAGGAGGGAGTGCAAATACTTGGTACTCTGCTAACCCTTTATGTTTGTAGGCTGTGTCCATGTGCAGTTCTAGCAGTGATGGCTGAATGAAGCTTCGTGGACCGTTTGGTGTATTTTTTTGAGTCCACTACATGGCGCTCTTGGTTTATTTTGGGGGCATGCTTTGAGTCCGTTTTTTGATGAGAGCACCATCTAGTGGGGCCAAAAAATATTGCAAATGGTTCATGAAGCTTGGTTTGGCCTTCGCTACTTTCTGGTATATTCTTATAAAATTAACTTCAGTGAACACTGGATGTCCTGCGATTGCGCCATCATCTATCACAGACTCTGTAAAGACAATCAGGGAAATCAGATACTTAAGAATATCTTACGTACTATAGTTAAGATTTCCTGGGGCCGTATTCTGTCCATTGTTGTAAGCGACAGAGAAACCAAGTAAATGGGTAATGGGTAGCGCCCACCCCTCTCCTGCATGGTCTCCACATTACCGTGGTAAGACATAGGTACCAAGAGGTGCTCCTGTAGCTCAACAAGTAGAACACTGTGCTAACACTGCAAGTGGCGTAGGTTTGTGTCCCCCTGGTTCACACATAACTTACAACTCTCCTCTAACTGTAAGGAACTTTGGATAAAAGTTTCATAAACATAAGCCAGCAAACATCAGTAATGTCACCAGGTAGTAATGTAACCAGGGGTGGCCAATCTTATCCGCAAAGGGCCGCGGTATGTGTGGGTTTTCGCTGCAACTCCCTAATTAGATTACTAATTAGAGGACTGATTGGCTGAAGCGTCCTCACACTGGGGTTTGAACAGCTGACCTACAGGTTATCCCAAAAACCTGCATACACACCGGCCCTTTGCGGATAAGATTGGCCACCCCTGGGCTAGACCATTATAGGCAGTAAACTACAACAAGCACTGTTTTAAAAACAACAGTCTTTAATGTGTTTAGAGTTGTGCCAGTCATTAGCTACAATAACAGGAACTGGTTCTCTAGGTTAACTGATTTAAGTGGTATTTTTCATGCCTACACAAAATCCATAAGCTACATTGTGTCCACATTTCAGCGCAATAAAGCCATAATATACACAGAAATATTCATTTGCTACCACTAGGGGGCCTCAAAGAGGCGCTCAAGCAAAGGCATTTACTCCATGAAATTACGTAAAAATATCATAGGTCTGATATATAGTTGAACATCTAATATGTGCCAGAAGAAAAGAAGTGGGTCATTCCCACACATTTTCCTAAATTACAGCAAAGGATGAAAAAAGAATAAGAAATGGAACATGCTTTTTAAACACTTTCTCTGGAAGTGTAAACGAATTGAAGTGGAGCGAATCCTAAAAACGTGAATTTCTCCAGACATATGAGAGTGAGGCTTTCCGTTTATACGGGGAGGAAGGAGACGTGTGCGTGGCAGCGGTCTGCAATGACTTGGAAAAAGATGCGTGGATCAATGAAAGACTTGGGAAAGGTCAGCGATCAGGCTTTAACGGCGTGCCCGGTAAATTTCTCTACTTCAGGTTGGAGGAAAGCATTCATTTACCACCTGACGACACGGAAAACTGGTGCAAAGGATCTTGTTGCATACAGGTAAATAGATTTCCTTTACTCTCTCTCGAGATGAGCCAAACGATAGTCTTAATGCTTTAATGTATTAGTTTAAAAAATAAAACGTTCACCTTCATTTTGCATGTTTGCAAAACTTTAATTTCAGATTCTCCTCCCGAATAAACTAGCAGGTGTCAGCGGGAATTGCACGAATCTCGAAGCCGATCCCTGCTCAGGTTTTTGTCAAAATGAAGAAAAGGTTTAGAAGGACTTTATCAGCAACTTGTTTTTCACTGGGCGAACTGGTTTGCGCCCTTCATTTTTGACAACTAAAGACCAGTAATGGACGTTTTTTCAATCAGCTGCCTGGAGGAACTGATAGAAAATAACAACAACAACAACAATAATAATAATAGCAACAACAATAACAAACTTAATCGGTCGAATGCCTGCTTTACATGGCAGTTATCGGACATATCCTGCGGACTGATCTCTTTCACCACGTTTATGTCATATTTTGTGGTATTTCTTGCAACACTGATATAGAAACCAGCGTATAAGGACGTCACGGGATCCCACATCGCTCCAGTAAAATGCGCCTGCATTTACTCCGACGCTCAAAAGGGGCAATGTGCAATTAAGACTGACAACGGCGGCTGAATTCACGTCAGTGACCTAGAAAGTGTACGCGACGTGCCCGCATCCTGCGGTGTGACCAGGGCTGCTCCAAGACCCGGGAGGTAATTACAGAAACACAACTTAACACCCGGCAAATCACACCGATGCAGCATAAGTACCATCACTAGGATGTATGATTCTAAAGCTATAATTAGCCATGCATTAGTTTGATTAACTTTTTTTTTTTTTTTTTTACGAGCATGGTCGCTGAAGGCTGGCTCATAGTTCGGACTGGATAACAAAAAGTNAACAAAAAGGGGGGGGGGGGGGGAATGATTTAATGTTTATCACACACTTTGTAATTGAAACCCTTATGACGTGTACAGTATATGGAGTGTCCTTGAAAAGCATTAGGCCTGAATAGTTTTTTTTAATTTTTTAAAAATAATGTATTAGAATTACTGATGAAGCAGAATCTTCATGCCATCCAGGTCGCTATGATGAAGAGGAGGCTTGAGTTTCCAGATCAACTTGTCCGCAGCATTTCTGCTACTTTTCCATTCTCTGGGAAGTTCTGCTCAATTTGTTCCAGTTTAATGATGAGGTGATTTCTGCAACGAAAGGCTGAAAAGATGGATACGAACATCTCCGCAGTAGCAGACGGTGGCTTATCGGAGAGGGACGCTTCCACGCGTGTGTTAACCGGCTGCTTCCTCTTCCTCCTCATCTTCACCACCCTCCTGGGAAATACGCTGGTCTGCGCGGCTGTGACCAAGTTCCGTCACCTGCGGTCGAAGGTCACCAACTTCTTCGTGATCTCTCTGGCGATCTCGGACCTGCTAGTGGCGATCCTGGTAATGCCGTGGAAGGCCGCCACGGAGATTGTCGGCTTCTGGCCCTTTGGCTCATTCTGTGACGTCTGGGTGGCGTTCGACATCATGTGCTCCACCGCCTCCATCTTGAACCTGTGCGTCATCAGCGTGGACAGGTACTGGGCCATATCAAGTCCATTCCGCTACGAGAGGAAGATGACGCCCAGGGTGGCTTTTGTCATGATCAGTGTCGCCTGGACCTTGTCGATCCTCATCTCCTTCATCCCTGTCCAGCTTAACTGGCACAAGGTTCGAACCACTGGCTACCCCGAGCCCAACGGAACCTACGGGGAGACGTTTCCGGATAACTGTGACTCCAGCCTCAATCGGACGTACGCCATCTCATCCTCGCTCATTAGCTTCTACATACCCGTCGCTATAATGATAGTCACGTACACTCGGATCTACCGGATCGCTCAGAAACAGATCAGGCGGATATCGGCTCTGGAGCGAGCGGCAGAGAGCGCCATGCACCGGCATACCGGCATGGAGCGGAACCCTGGAACAGAAACGGAGAGCTCATTCAAAATGTCATTCAAGCGCGAAACAAAGGTTTTAAAAACGCTCTCGGTCATAATGGGGGTGTTTGTCTGCTGCTGGCTGCCTTTCTTCATCCTAAATTGCATGGTTCCGTTTTGCGAGCCGCGCCTGATGAACCAGAGGATGAATTTCCCCTGCGTCAGCTCCACGACCTTTGATGTCTTCGTTTGGTTCGGCTGGGCAAACTCATCTCTCAATCCGATTATATATGCCTTCAATATAGATTTCCGAAAGGCCTTCTCTATCCTGTTAGGCTGCCACGGTCATTGTTCCAGTACCAATTCCATAGAGGTCCTCAGCCTGAACAACAATGGCGCTCCGCCTCCGTCGTCCCATTCCCAAGCTAAGGGCCGTCTCCCTCTGGAAGGGAATATGCCGTACACCATCCCACACACCATCCTCACACAGGATGAGGAGCTGAGTGATGTGGAGGGTGATGTTGGGGTCAAAGCTCTGATGAAGGTCTCCCCTGCCCTTTCGGCCAACTTGGACAGCGAGACTGATGTTTCTTTAGAAAAGATTAACCCTGTGACTTCAAACGGGCAACACATGATGTGACAGGGGATGGAAGCTCTTCTCGTTTCAGAATCTTGCCATTCTCAACTTTAAAAGCAGACGTGAAGAGGGATGTATAACCACAGATACACCTCAACAGTACCTGCAAACTGACGTTTACTAAAGACCTTAAATCCGATGTGGTGCAAGTCCCGCAGAATGTTTTAAAGGCACTTTATCCCAAATAACTGTCTCGAAAAATTCATGTACTGGATGAATATATGAAATATACGTATAGAACAAATCAATCAAGTAGATAAACATAATTCTAATGACGTTGTTTTCATAATACATCAACCAAAAGATCTATTTAACATGGACATATGCAAAAGCTGGTTTCTAATGTTTTTGTCTGTAAGTGCTGTATGATCGTAAGTTGATTGTATAGTCTAGTTTTTTTGTATATTGTCAAGTACTAGGTCAATTTCTTCAAAATGTTTCAGTGGCTTTTCGTTCTGGTTTTGTATTAATTTCTACATTTTTGTTAAATGAAGCTGATCTGTGCACTTTTTCCATCTGTAAGGAATACAGCTTCGGTGGCGGTTGTTTTTTTTTTTGTTTTTGAATATTCACTGTAGATCCAAGACGGAACCAGAAGGCTGAATGGGATATATATCATAAAAGCAGAATAACAGATGAAAGGGAATGTGGGTATATCTATAAGCGAGTGATTCTGGTTGTGCCGTACTAGCAAACTGATATGTATAAATGGCTCCGTGAATGTCTTCGGTTCCTGCTCTTTTCTTTCCTGGCCAGTTTACCAGCCTTCTGCAGGTCCAATGCCACACAAACGTAATGTTCTTAATGTTCTATTGTTAGTATTGTTCAGTAACAGTAGTGTTTTTGGGAAGTGTCTTGTGGCTTAGTGAGTTAGGACTTCACGCTCGTGACCAGAAGGTTGTCAGTTCGACTGACAGACTGATGATGCTCAAGGCCCTCGACCCACCCCCCCCCCTCCAATTGCTCTAGGGGCGGTGGACGCTGGCTGACCCCCCCAAGCTTGCTCTCACCTGTCTGTCTCTGTGTCTCAGGGAGGGGGATAGGCAATTAAAAACACATTTCCCCATGGGAACCAGTAAAGTGTTTCTTTTCTAAGATGTACCCATGCAAAAACTTCATCATCTAGTGCAGTGTTTCCAGATCCAGGTCTCAGGGACCCTGAGACAGTCCATATTTTTTGCATTTTTGCGGAGGGAGCAAAAACGTGGACTGTCTGGCAGGGAGCTGGGAGGGAGCAAAAACGTGGACTGTCTGGCAGGGAG